TAGAGGGACAGGTTTTGTTATGTGTCTTGAAGATATAGAGTACCTAGCTGGATGGGGAGAAAACGTGATCTTCAGAGATCTTGTTTTCAGTTCCAAGCAAAATTACAAAGCTTTGCACACTGGAGCTTACTTTTTCCTTCCTTTTTTTTTTAATGAGCAAGTTAAATCATCATTACATAAGCTACTATTTTAGTAACAAGGAATAAGGACAAGCAAAATGAAGTAGTAAATGAACCAAGTCTGTATTTTGGGTATTGTGTAGGCTATTTGAATGAGAAACTTGAACTTGTGGCTAACAGTCTTGGATGGGTACATTTATATCTGTGTATTTTTCCTAGGAAAAGGGAGCAGATTCAGGGTGGTAATATGCTGTATCTGATGGATGAGTTTAAATGCAAAGTTCATTTGGGTTTTGCTGGAAAAGAATTTAAAATTGAGTCAAAGTCAACCACTTCTCCTGTTCCAGGCAAAACAGTAGTTAAAACAGCCAGAAGATGATAACCAGCTTCTAGCTTTCTGTGGTTTTTAACATATTCCTAGACTAATTGTTGGGGATTTTTTTTCTCTTATCTGTACACCATTAAGTATTATTTAGAATCTTTAAAATATTGACATGTGATGTGGATTTTTTCTTATTATTTTGTACAGTCAAAAGTTAAAAAACCACAGGATGCTTCAGGCTCGGCTCCAACAGAAGGAAAGGCAAAGTCAAAAAGCCGTAACACGTACAGACTGGAGCCACGCACTAAAGTTCAGGCTGACTTACTACAAGACAAAGCTCAAGCGATACTGACGGTAGAGTACTATTTAAATTACTTGTCTCATTGCAAGAGCAGATTGTCTTGCAGAAGTATTTACAGAACAGTGAATATTGCATACACTTAAACACACATAAATCTCTGCACTCTTTTGAGTTTTGGCACATGGATGTAATGTGAATGTATTCTGTTTTGCAAAGTGCAGAAGGGCCTCTGTGAGGTCACTGCTGAGTGTGTGCTGTTTAGGTGGAGCTGAAGCTTCATAAACTTTTGCATTTTTTAAAATCAAATTGAGCTACAGCACAGTTCAAAGTATCATAATCCACAAAATGTCCAGTTAGCAAAGGATCATGACGTCAAATTTGTGGATTTCTGTTAATTCTGCTAATATCACAGGACCTGCATAAAATTACTTGGTATCCTTGACAGTCAGATTGGTACATACACAAATTGAGCAAATATAAAAGAAAACAATTTGTTGAGATAATCCACAGGTATTAGTGGTATTTTGAACAGTTGTAACTGGATCTTTTTAATTCTGCTGTCTGGAAGACATATCTTGGGTATTTGGAACAGATATTTGTAGCACTGTTTTCCAGTGAACTGAGCCCAAATAATGAAGAGTACTCTCCTGATTGTTAAATGGAGATTGGCTGGGCATGTGTGTCACCTTTAAAAAAACAGATAAAACATTTCAGAGTAAAAGTAGTGCATCCTTTGCTGTTTGAGACCATCATCTGTACTGACTATTCAACTCACTAGTTCTTCTCATGTTCTCGTAATGAAAATGACTGTAAAGGGTGTTTTTTGCAAAAGACTACTAGGATGAAAACTAAGATCTTTCAAAATTGTTTTTGATAGAATAAACTACAATACGCCACATACGATGGAGCTTCTAGTGCCTTATTGTGTGCCTCAATCTCAGAAGAAATATTAAATGCTGTGAAGGAATTGAACTATGACCGTTATAAGTATGTGGTATCAGTGCTAATTGTCGAAAAGGCAAATCAGGCAATGATTGTAAGCAAACATATTATTTGTTACACCTTTTGAAAATTAAAAACATCTTTTAAACCTGTGTGTTATCTCCTAGATGTTCTTTCACTTTCAGCAGCTTAACTTGTTTCAGGTGGTCCTGAAGCTTTTATATTCTTTATGGTTAGTAGTGTCCCAGGTGACAATTCAAGGTGCTGCTGTGATTCTGCCTAATTCTCTGAGGGTTGCTGTCTTCATGTGTTCAGTAAGTGGTAAACAGCCCCAGCTGCACATACCCGTCACCCACTTGTTTCTGCTGCCTGCTGTGCCAGTACAATTCCATGAGTTCAGCGAATTTTGTTTTTCTTTGTCCGGTGTACTTGGATCTCCATTTGGATTCTTGCATTCCATGCGAGATGCTATGCAGTTGTAGTGTGAGGTGTCATGGAAGAGAAGGGTGCCAGGGAACTGAAGGGTGGATGGTAACTCCAGCTGCCACCAGACATGCTCCTGGGACTTCAAATTAACATCAGTCATCTGAACTTGGAACACCTAAAATTAAAAGGATTCTAGATTGTGCTGTGTTGGTATATAAATTTAGTATTCCAACTACATTGGAGCTCCCATTGGCATTCAGAATGCTTTTATTTGTCTAGTAGAGTGCCAAAGAACACTTCTGCTTTGCAGTGTTCACCATCAGTTCTTAAAACCTGATTGAAACCAACCTGTGTTTAGTGAGTTACCTAAAATATTTGAAGGGTTCACCTTCAGTACAAAATCCAGTTTTTGCATCTACCTGCTTTTCTGGTGCCATCCCACAGCATGCTGCCTCTTAAGAGGTGCTTTGACTGAGAAGCTGTAGGTGCAAACAGATTAGTGAAGTGGCCCAAGTTAACTTTTTTCTCCCAAGGAATATGTTTATTCCAGCCATCAATTCATACAGTTTAGTTTTGAAAACAATTTTACCAAAAAGGCTGAGAGCCCAATAAATTTACAAGTAGGCTGTAGTAAGCTGGAGGTGGAAGAGTGGGGGATGTAATTTCTTGGTTGTAAGTGTTCACAAAACTGATGTCTATTCACACTGATATTCAGTTGCTTTTGAAGGGGTGGTCTTACTGTATGTTAAATTGTAACAAGTGAACACAAGAGAGAATTGGGGGTTTGGTGCAGAGCTTTTGGATCTCTCCGTGCGGGAGCTTTACTGTGAAGCAAGAAAACGTATTTAACATTGAATAGGAATTCTTAATTTTATTCAACTTTTGCATTGTTGTTAATAGTTGTAACTCTCCTAATATGATTAATTAGCATTTAGATAATGCTGGGTATATAGGTTCACTTGTAATTTTTTCTCTTTTATCCCTTTAGGTTGCCAGCAGATGCCTCTGGGATGCTCAAAGAGACACTTGGGTTTCAGCTAAATGTGAAACTGATACATTTATTGCACTGGCTTTGGTAATGGCTTGTTATTACGACTAAAACTCTGAAAGTCAGCTGCATTTGTGCATCACAATACATGGTATATTTGAAATTTTTCAAAATATAATTATTTTAGTATTCATATTTGTCCTATTGGTGTTGGCACATTGAAACTGACATACAGTAGAGATAATTTTGCTCGTTTTTGCTCTGTTTAAAAAAAAAACCCAAACAAAACTGCTTTGGAAATGTTTATGGTTGAGTACATATGGGCTTCATCTGTTGTAATGCTCTGCTGTGGAAGTGGGAGCAGCTGGTGAGAGGCCAAACATTGCAAAATTCTGAATGTTGCTTGTCTCTTGAGTGTCTGGGACTGTTCACCAATGCTTATATGCAGTTGCAGGTATCAGTTTTCGTAAAAGCATGCTTTTTGTAGGAAAAGCAGTGTTCATTTTTTGTTTTCATAGTTGGTATCTATGGTAAAATGCTGGTCTGCCTAGAAACTTGGCTGGGAGGGAAGCTGTGTTTTGCAGTCCTAGAAACTTGTGCACGTTTCCAGCCGTTTGCCTTGAATGAAGTGTAAGCTCAGCTATTAGGTTCCCCGGGTCGTAACCTTTGGTTGGTGGGCAAATACTGAATTGAGCGAGTTAGGTCACTTTGGTCTGGGGGCTTCTGGTGGCAGTGGCAGGAGGACGATGGAATCAATCTCAAGGCTATTGAGAATTGGTGGATAACTGGCAAGGGCAGCACCGATTGTATGTTTTTAAATGAGACTCGCAGATCTGTGAGGTGTGTAGACATCAGGTTTTGGATCGGCCGTGCGTGGAAATCTAGCGCTGTTGTCTTTGCCACGTCCGTTCTATTGTTGGGAGCTGAAAACAAACGCGGACGGGGCGGGATGCTTCCCAACGCGCCGTGGCCGGCTTGGGTCTGAGCGCCTTTGCAGCCGCGGCCGGGCAAACCTCGAGGGGCGGTGAGCAGCCCGGGCCGCGGGTGGGTGCACACGCGAGGCCGGCGGAGCCCCCGGCCGGGGGCGGCGCCGTGGCTGGGGCGCGGCCGTGCGCTTTGTTCGCCGGCGCGGGGCCGTGCGCGCCCACGTGGCCCGCCTGCGTGCGGGCGGGCGCGCGCGCCGCCCCGGTCCCCGGGACGAGGGTCGTTCCCGTGGCGGGCAGGGAGGGCTGCGCCTCAGCTCCGCCCGCCGGTACCGGCGGGACCGCTACCGGCACCGGGAGGCGGCGCGGCCGCGGCGCGCAGCGGGCTCGGCGCGACCGCGCAGCGGCGGGGAGCGGCCGCACGCGCCCTCCCTCCGTCGCAGGGGCGAGCGCGCTCGTAGCGGCTCCTCCGAGTGCGCCCCCCGCCCCCCGAACCCCCCTCCTGCGGGGGCTGATGGTTCACAAACGTAGCTCGTCCCCGGCTGACGTTCCCGGAGACGGGAGCCTGCTGGCGGAGCGGAGCAGCCCGGCCCTGCTGGGTGCCGGCTCCCGCGCTCGGCGCTGACCACCGCGCCGGGGGGATGCTGCCCCTCCGTCCCGCGCTGCTGCCCAAGCGCTACCGCGGCGGCTCGGCTCCGCGCTCGCGGCCGGGCCGCGCGGCCGCCCGAGCGACGGCGGCAGGAGGAGGAGAAGGGCGCGGCGGCGGCGGCAGCACCGGCGGCGACGGATCCCCCGCGCCGGTCCCGCGGGGCGGCGCCGGGTCGGTGCGGGTGCCGGTCCGGCGGCGCGGGCCGGGGTCGCCGCGGGCTGCCCGGAGGGGGGCGGAGCAGGAGCCGCCGCGCCCGTGCGCGCGCTGGCCGCTAGGGGCCGCTGCGGCTCCCCGCAGGGCGCGGGGGGGCGGGGCCGGCGGGCGCGGCGCGAGGCCCGGTCGCGCGGCGGCGGCGGCGTCGCTCCTGTTGGCCCAGCCGGCGGCGGCCATGGCGGCCGTGCTGTCCCCGCGCCTCTGCGACAGCGACCCGGCCACGCCCGGCGCGCAGTCCCTCAAGGTGAGAGCGGGTGGCGGCGGCCGCGGAGCTGCGGCACAACAGCCGCCTCGGCGGGAGGCCTCGCGCGGCCCCCGCGCCTGGGCGCCCCGACCCGCGCCTCTCACCCGACCCGCCCGCCCCGGGCTCACCTCACGCCCGTTGGGGGTGCCGGGCGGCGGCGGGCGGCCTTCCGCGCCCCGGGCCGAACTTTGAACGCGGGTCTGGGGCCGGGTGCCCGGGGCCGTCCTCCTTCCCAAAAGTCCCTCGGCGTGTTGCCAGGGGCGGCGCGGCAGCTGAGTGCTCGCCGCGGCAGCGCCGCAGCCGGGAAAGTTTGGGTCGGGCCGCGGCAGTTCCGCCTTGGCCCTGCCGGCCGCTCCCGCGCATCCCCGGCACCGCGGGCACTTGTGGCGCCAAAGACTCCCGGCGCGGATCGGCAGTCGCCCTTTGAAACACATCTCGAGCTGTTTAGGCTTCTCGATCGCTTATTGAAGCGGCGTTACGTCGATCTTGCAGTGACAGACGTACCAGAAGTTTGTAACGTCACCATGTTTCGTAAGGACTAACAAGCTTTTTACAGAAACATGCGTTTTCAGGGAGAAAGGGGCTTTTTTGGACAGTGCTTGATTTTTTCATATAAAAAGAGCCACAGAGCTATCCCTTTTTTCTGTTTTTCAGCAGTAAAGCTGGTTGAGCAGTATTGTGCCTTTAGATTGCAGATGTTTTCACTTTATGTAAAGTCGTCTGCAACAAGCTCTACTTGTGTGATTGAATTTCGTGAAATTTTAAGCAAATAAGCAAGTATGGAAATGGAGACAACTGATCTCTCTATGTTATGGACACTCATACTTTGTAACAGTACCGGATATAATCAATGAAAAATTACTAAGAGAAATGAGAAACTCATTATCAGGCACTTCCACCAAACTCTCAGGTTGAGATCTGTCTTGTAATGACGTTTTGAATTTTCTTGGAAGTTTTGTTATACAGCGGGTTGCTTTGGCCCTTTTGAGGTCTTTGTCTAGCAGTTAAAAAGATTTGGAGTGCATTAATATTCTTGTGGGAAGTAGAAGTGAGCTGCTGATGAGACAGCTGTGACACAAAATATTCTAATGCAATGTTGGTTTGACTGGGGGCTGCTGCTTCATTCGTTGGAGTTAACACAGGGTATTCTCAGTGATAGTAAGAAATGGCATTACTGCTAATGTGAGTGGAGATGCTGCATATTGCTTTTTTAATGATGACTGCACTAAGAAAACACAGTTCCATTAAAATTTGCTTTTCAGTTTTTATCACTGTGAAAGATGTTTTTGCTTCTTAAAGAGGAAGAAGAATATTTGTAAAAAGTTGCAGAAAATAAGAAATAAGCCAAAAATCCAGGAGACTAATGCTTTTTGTCTACGGCCTGTCTTGATTATAACATTTTGAAATGTTGCTTAGTAAAAGTAATGTATTCGTTTTTACTGGAATATTTTTAAATTGACATTCCAAGTCATATGTTAAGTAAAACATACTAGAGTGAAAGACATTAGCAAAGGCAGACCTAATTATCAGTGTTGTCATTTCTAAATAAATAAGTATAGTTGGGCTTGATCCATTTATTTCTGACAGGTTAATTCCTCTTGCTTAAACTTTTCACAGAAGTTAGGAAATTGATTCTGTCACTCTGCTCCACTTTAGAAATTCAATTACTTAAGGAACTGTTTTATTCTTGATTCACCTACTGGTCACAGTAGGCAATTCACCTGAAGATTTCTGCTGTCTTTATCTCAGTTGTGATCAGACAGGGTTGGTCACTAAATGCTTTGATATGGCAGATGATGCAGGTTGGAATTGCACAGCATTATGGGACAACAGAGCAGTGAAAAACACAACATGAACTGAGTCAGTCTTCTAGATTTCACAGAACTCTTTGTTTTGCTTGGGTCTTTTTTTCCTCCTCTTCATTTTTATTCCCTGTTGTTGTATTGATCACATGAGATCTGAATTGTGACACCTGTCTGAATGTCCCCTGTAAGGGGGACATTCTTGTTCTCTTCTCTATCTGTTGTTGGGTTTTTTCCTCTGTAAATCTTTTCATCTCAAGTCTTTGCTACTTGCTTGCAATGATATTTTTTTGTAAACTGTATACAGTTCCTTTTATTTTAACTCTGTACCTGTAAACTCCTGTGTTGCTTTCAGTAATGTTTTCCCTGATTTTGTAAGGATCAGCTCTCAGCAAGGAGTTGGGGTTTTTGTTTTGCACTTGCTTTTGGTGTGGAGTGCTAGTCTGGTCAAGTGCCAGAGGTAGTTTACATCAGGAAATATGAACTTGGTGGTCAGAGCTACAGCTCTGTCTATTCAGAACTCTACCTGTGCCACAGGTGAGAAGCCGTCCAATTCTCCTACCGGGCTACCTCGTGTCATGCAGATGGTTTATAACAAAGAATAGTTTGTTATGTAGACTGTCCTGTGAGTTGTTTAAGACTGTCATAGAATGGCTTACCAGTTCAAGTATATTTAAATTGTGGATTGCCTTGCAACGTTTTTGGTGTTTTACATTATCTTTGGAGTAGTCTTAGTTTTTTTTAATATTTATTTTCATCTCAGGATGACACAGAAGAAAATTCCAATGATGGCAGCCAGCCATCCAAAAGGCGGCGTATGGGCTCAGGGGACAGTTCACGGAGCTGTGAAACTTCCAGTCAAGACCTTGGGTAATGCTGCTTTTTACAATTCCCACTTTTTATTGTAAGTCTGACTTTATTGTTCAGCATGCTTGAGTACTAGCTCTTTAGTCATTATTTGTGTATTCTTCATACATCTTTACAAATTGAGGTGATGTCCTATAAATAGCTGGATATCTATTCCTCCCAGCATATTTTGAGGCATTTTATTTTAGAGTGCCACAAAAAGTGTTGCATCTGATTTACAATCAGAAGCACAGTTTACGTGTTTTTAAGACATTGCATACTTGAATGAATTTTGACTCTGTAGTCGTTGCTTTTCCTGGCGTCCTCTCCATTATGATGGATATCAGTTTCTTCAGATTCTGTCCCTTAGCATGCTGATAAATGGAGATTTAGAGAAATATATGTGGGTACAGCAAAGTGACTTTTGAAATGGGTTAACAGGATGCAGTGTTTTAAAGTGCTTGTCCCACTTTGTAGTTACTGTTCATTGGCATATAAATGGGAATTACTGAATTTCTAGAGAGGTAAGTAGTATTGTTAAGGATTGTTGTGATTTGTTGTAACATTGTTCTTATGTTTAGGTACAGTTATTTTCCTGCTGAAAATTTGATAGAATACAAATGGCCACCTGATGAAACAGGAGAATACTATATGCTTCAGGAACAAGTCAGTGAATATTTGGGTGTAACTTCCTTTAAAAGAAAATATCCAGGTATTTATTTTTAAAGTCTTTCTTCTAAAAATTTGGATTCTTAAACAGTTTGGATGTAGTCTCTGCTTCTTTGGTTATAGGATGAGTTAATGGTTAAAAAAAGACCCAGGAAAAGTAGACCTGGATTAATTATACTTGTACTTCATATTTTCATTACTGGAAATATAATGTATCCACTGGTTTTCAAAGTAATACAAAATTTTGTGGTATTGACACTGAAAATTTGCAAACGAGTCTGATTTGAGGCTTAGATCAACAAGTGCTGTTTGAAAACTGGTGTCAATTTCATTTTTAATGATTTGTTGATGATTTCTTACTATAACTGGATCTCTGCATTCTGTTTCCTGAATTGTGGCAACGTTCCTACACTGTGGAAAAATATTTAAAAATATGTATGTGGAGGTTCTGGTATTTGAGCCTCCATTATCTAGAATTGTCAAATCTGGCTCTTTGTTGGGGAATTTATTTTTAAAAGTTATGGTAGAAGAAAAAATACTGCACCTTCAGTGCTTGGTAAAATTTTCTGTATCTGAACTTATACATCAGGTTTCTTTAGTGTTTATGTAAGTCATAACTGTAGAGGGTGTCTTAACCTACTATAAGTCAAGAAAATTTATCATGTCCCTACACTGTGTGTTAAATTTAAAATGAATTTATGAAGTTGTCATGTTTCTTGAAATAGCAGTGTAATACAGTCTCTAGCTGCCTGGAAACAAAATTGTTGAAGTACTTTGACAGTGTTTATGGGGGAGTTTCAGTTACTGCACCCATTTTTAATTCTTTTTTTTGTTTTGTTTTGTTTTTTTGAGATTTAGAAAGGCGAGATTTATCTCACAAGGAGAAACTATACCTCAGAGAACTAAATGTTATCACAGAGACTCAATGCACACTAGGTAAGAAAACAAATTGTTAGACTTCTTATTACAGTGTAAAAAGTATGGCACTCTGAAAAAGGGGTTCAGTTTGGTAGAGAAGAATGCATCCCTCTCAACTGGAAACATAAATTTTGAAATTAAAACTGGTTTATTTTTGGCTTAGTAAATTAACCATGTTGTATCAGAATTCCAGATTCATTATTAGCAAATATATTTTGGATCTATTACAATTACTTAGAGAGGATTTTTCTATATTCTAAATTAACTTAGAATCTTTTTCTCTTAGAAAAGAGACCACCATAGTAGTGTGGTCTCATACATATACTTTGTATATACATACATGCATGGTGGTATATATTGCATCTATAGGTAAGAGTGTCTTAATATATACGTTAGTCTTATTTTGCTGCATTGCATTGGAGGCTTACAGACATCAGTGTATCTTAAATGGTTCAGCTTCTATGTTAGAAATTAGAAGAGTGTATTTTAAGGCAATTGAGTATACTTGAAATGGATTGATCTAATTTCTGAGGCTTTTATTGAAAGGGCTTTTTTCCTTCTCTTCTGATATATGTGATTTGGACATGTAGAGTTTAAATTATGGTGCCATGGGGTTTTTTCTGTGTATCAAAGGTCTGTGAAAATGTAATGTCATTTTATATGCTAACAATCTTTAGTATACCACCTTTATTTCTCACCTGTGAGCTATTTTTTAACTTAACTATGCATAAGAGAACTATATCTAATTTTTATATATAGAGGTAAAATGTTATGTTCTGCCTCGCCTATCCAATAGAGATGTGTGCTAACTACCCCTGCTTTTAAAATTATAGTTATAATCAGTGGTAATGACATAAATCATTCCATGCTATTGTCCATGTCTGGAGATTAGTTGTGTTGGAACCTTCAGGGGAGGAGATCTGTGTTGTAGCTGCAGACTGAGGCATTCTGACTTCTGAGCGTGAAATGCTTTAATTGGGAGTCAGGAGTCTCTGTGCAGTTTGCTGCTCTGAATTGCTCTCCTAGCAATTCTTCCCTGATTTGTATGAGACTTTATGTAAACCTCTTAATTTCAGCAAAGGTTCTGCAGGGTAATGGAACTTCAGCTGCACTGGGAGCTGAAACTAACAGTACATGAGATCCCATCTAGAACAAAGGTTCTGCCTCACCAGTGAGTTTAAGTAGGTGATTGAGTCAGTGAGAGGGGTCTGTAGCTGTAAGAAATGACACGAGCCTCGGGTACAAGCAAACTCCCAGTCAGCCTTGAAAGGTAAGTGGCACAAGTTTGCTGCTGCTTGAGAAGGAGAAGCATTGTGCACAGCAGGTTGTTGTCTTCAGCTGCTCAAAACCTTTGAGCTGGTCATTGTGAGATATAAATAACCTGCAGTTACTTTTGCCAGATAGCATCATTATTACTTTATTTATTTTAGGTCTAACAGCTTTGCGTAGTGATGAAGTAATTGATCTCATGATTAAAGAATACCCTGCCAAACATGCTGAGTATTCTGTTATACTGCAAGAGAAGGAACGGCAACGAATAACAGATCATTACAAAGAGTATTCTGTAAGTAATTACCACTTAAGTGAATCAAATCTGCAATGGGAGTGTGAGAAAAGGTTCTTCTCCAACTGATAGTGAAATGTGTGTGAATTAATATAATTGGTTTTGTTCCAGCAAATGCAGCAACAGAACACACAGAAAGTAGAAGCCGGTAAAGTTCCAGAATATATTAAAAAGGCTGCCAAGAAAGCTGCAGAATTCAACAGCAATTTGAACCGAGAGCGGATGGAGGAAAGAAGAGCCTATTTTGATTTACAGACACATGTAGGTAGATTTAAATTTCTTATCAATTGGGAGGAAGCACCTCCTTGCGTGTTTTAATGAAGAGAATGAAGAGAAAACAATTGGTTTTGTTACCATTGTAGCTATTTTTGGGGGGGTGATTAATGGGTAATACTGCTAAAAATAATAATCTAAATATATTTAACCTGCAGACTTTTTAAACTTGAAAATACTTGTCTCAGAAAGCTCTAAAAATCTCAGTGTTACTTTGTTGTCATGTCTTTATTCTGATAATCTTAGCATAAAACTAAGACCGTTGTTTATTCATATAAATGACTAATTCTTCTTTTGAATACCTCCAAAATTTTGCCTGACAATAGCTGAAGTAAGAAAGAAAATTATTTTACATGTAAAAGTGTGCTTGTCAATATTATGCCCTTGTTTTTTGTTATTTATTATTTTTGTATTGCATATGTTACATGCCTCTGTGCTTGATTAAAAAAAATTATGTGGCATTTTGAAGCAGTACTGTTTTGCTTCTATAGAGGCAAGTAAAGCAAAAGTTTTCTCTGCAAATTGTTACTTGGCAAACAATTATGGAAAATTTTCATTTTCTTGCTGTTGACCATGTTAGTGACAAGGTAGTGGATAATTATTTCTGTTTCCTTCTAAGAGAAGGAAGGCTCTTTGTGTAAGCTTCTCCTTTCCATTGTATTATGTATTTATATATTAATGGATTTTTTTTTATAGTACAGTCTGGTTTCAGAATTAGATGGCACATTCTTTCTACTCTAAAACAATATGGAACAACAGTGATAATTCTTGCTAAAGATGCCAGTCACAAAGGTTAATGTTTACTGTTTCAATTGCTAGATTTTAATTTCAATATTATTTTTCATAGTGTACTGTTTAAAGGGGTCTTACTTAATCTTTGTTCGATCCACTAGATACTTAGGGATTGGATTTAATCCATGATACTGTTTTGGGATCTCTTAGAATTTTAATGCATTGAATTTCTCATGGGAGAACTCAGGCAGCTGTTTCAATTCAGTAAAACTGGCAAGTTAAAATAATGCTTGGAGGAGTATTTGGTGAAGAAGGCTCAGCTGTTTGTATGTGAAACAAAAATGTCATTGTTTTATATTAAACAATGCAGATTATCCAGGTGCCTCAAGGAAAATACAAAGTCTTGCCTACAGAGAGAACAAAGGTTAGTCCTTATCCAGTGGCTCTCATACCCGGACAGTTCCAGGAGTACTACAAAAGGTATTTTAAAAGCATTCCAGCTGCCAATTCTGTTGCACTGATCTCTTTTGTCTCCATCTAGCAGGTGGAAAACATTTCACTGTCTTTGCATTAAGGTTTCAAATTAATTTTAGTTTTAGACACTTGATAGTCTTCAAAGATGTATAGCGTGATAGCTGTGCTTAAGAAAACTGACTGCAAGAGCACTGTCTCTGCTGATGTATTGCAGTGCCTGAGATTTAGCCTGCTCAGGTATTTACCATGGTAAAAAGGGACATTGATTTAACTCCTGCCACCCTCCTGTTTATTTATCATCTGCCTCTGCATGTGCTAAAATTAATGTTTTTGTGTCAAAGTGTTGTTATGCTGGCTTCTGATCATGAGTCTTGCTGTTCCATTTTGAATTTTTTGAAACTCTTTTTAAAAAGAGTTTGGTCTTGTGGTTTAAGTTTGATGTTAGATTTGTAAGTAAGAGAGAAAGACATTCCAAACTTTACATTTCATGATCTTTACATTTCATGAAAAATGTGTTACTTGACTTACGTGTTGTTGACATAAATTTAAGATTTTACTAGCAGTGTGCTACTGTTGAACAAATCTGTACAGATTTGAAGATTTTGCTGAAGTCTTCTTATTGTACAGTAGGGATGGTATTCATGATATATGTTCTTGGTTTTCTGTAAAGAAGCTCTTTGCATGTGCCTTGCTCCTTCCAGTGTTCATACAGCCCACCCCAAATTTGCATGTTACAGGATGTTCCTGAAGGACTTCAGTTTTATTAAATCAATTGAATTAAAATTACGTCATGTTGTGTTTATTTTGCAATTGTAAGCTGCTAGTGAAACTGCTTTTCCATCTCAGTGAAGGATGTGACCTTTCATAATATGCAGCAGAATAGTATCCCGTTCTTTACATTGCTTGTCCTGAGCAGTAAGAGGACTTCCACTTTTTTTCTTAGTCTTTATGTTAAAAAGAAAAAACATGGATTATGCATGTTGATCTGTATCTGGCTGTAAGCAGTGAGATTACACCTGTACATTAATCTGAAACTACATTTTCTTGTTTTCTTACATTTTTTTGTTCTTAATAATCAACTGTACAGCTCTATTGTTTACTTTGTTTTGGACATATTTGTGTGCCCTGGGTTAGAATTGTACACATGTTATGGGGAACAGTACATGGATAAAAAAAGTTTATGGTCTGTTGGGCATAGTAACATGGATTGGGTAAAACTTTACAAATTGTGTTCCATGAATATCTGCTCTACAAAGAAGACAAGCAGTATACATGGCATCGCATTTGGGAGGAGAAATTAGTGTGTTTCCTTTGTTTTCAGAACTGCATGTTTTTATGCGCCTTCCTGAAAAAAGGAGGCTGTTATTTAAGTCCTTGCATACTGTGTAACTTAATACTTACGCATAAAGTACACATGAATGAATGCATTTAATTTATTTAACTTCAGATACTCTCCAGATGAACTTCGTTACTTGCCACTAAACACAGCCCTTTATGAACCTCCTTTGGATCCGGAGCTGCTTGCACTGGACAGTGATGGAGATTCAGATGATGCAGAGGAAGGGCGAGGTGATGAAAAGAGGAAAACCAAAGGCAATTCGGTGAGATAAATTGAAAGTATTCTTGAACAAAAAAATCCTTTTCCTTGACTTTTGTTAGTTTAATTAGTTTATTAGAATCTTTTAACATTTGCAAAATGAAGGGAAGACCTTTTTTAGTACTTCTGTTTATTTTATAACATTGCTCTCCATTGTTTTTTGGTTTTGGTCCATTTTCAGAGTAAATTGAATAAACATTTCAGGCCTTTTCTTCCTTTTTAAAAATTTTCTTTTGTTTGTTTTGTTTTGTTTAAAGCAATTTTGAAGAAACTTCCCAATGCAGCTCTTCATTATAGCCTTTTTCACAAGGGGAAGTTGCTGGCATTTCTGAGGAGAATGAATATTATAGTTCAGGTATATTTTTGTTGTATATTTTGCTGTTGGAAGTCCCACAGAATCTGTCCCCAAAGCAAAGGCATTAATAACCTCATAAATTTTTTTTCTGTGATGTGGAAGCAGCAAGTACTAAGTGTAGAAGCAGTAACTTAATTCCAATTCAAAAAGAAGGTCAAAAGCATTGTGTTTTTATTACTTTACAATACATCTTTTAAAAGATATTTATGTTCTCTCCACTTATGCAAATGCAAAATTAACTGCTAGCTGAAACTTAAGGGAAACTTTCAAATACCTACCTTGATAGAGCTTTAAATGCTCAAGAGCCAGCTGAGATTCAAATCAGCTGAGTACACCTGAACCATTGGTGTATTGGTGTAGTTTATATGTTGGGGACAATCTCTTTCCAGAAGTTTACCCTACTTTTAACAGCAGTGGAATTTCACAGTGCATTTAGCAATCTCTAGCATGATTGATGAACATATTTGATGGTGGGTATGTTCAACTCTAAATTTTGTCTTTGAATTTTGTAAGAAATAATTGAAGAAAGGAAGAGATCAGCTTGTAGGTTAACAAAAAGAGAGAGAGGTGTTTAATACACTCTTTCGGCTTGCAGTTTTTGAGACAAAATCATAGAAACATAGCATGCTGAATGTCAACTGGAGTTTTCAGTTTAATCACACTCCAGCTTTTTTACAGTTGGTCATTTGGTCTTTAACCATTTTTCCCCAGTTTCCTTTTCCATTTAATTCCATTCTCATAAATGGTAAAGAAAAGTAACTGGACCAAGCAGGCTATTCTTTTGATATTTCACAGAGGCTCAGAAATTTTTTTTGTGACAGAATGCAGAAGGAAAAATGTCCCTGAGTTTGAATAGTGTAGAGAAGTGTGAAAGATTGATAATCAGATTCCTGTGAAGTGGTTTTGGCTGTGGGAGCATGGGTTCTTGGATAGTTAGTCATTGAGGGGGGCATATAGGACAGAAAAAAACCAGAGGTGGGACATGGTCAGATTTGGAGTATCTCCCATTTGTCAGATCTCCCTGGTGAGTGCCACAATACACTTCTTCTTTTTCACACCTCCCCCTGCTCCATTGTTGGAGTTGGTAGCAGTTTTCTCTTCTGTAGTGTTTTAGTGGGTCTGACCTAAATAACCCTTCCCCTGAAATACTGGTGAAACCTACCATTTCTTGTTGCCACATAGTTCAGTCTGCTTTTGTGTTACACTCTACCATTTACTCTGTGTCTGTTTCGTCTGTTTTGATCTTAGGTCCTAGGGCACAGGCTGATTACTATTGTTTTTACAGAGTGTGTTTTAATGTAGGGCACCATTGTTATTTGGCCTCTTGGGTTTTATTGTGATAAATGTGAGTAATCACACTGCTTCCTTCTGGAGCTTTTTGGAAGCCTTTATTAACACTTTTCTGAGAAAAGTCTTGTGCTGCTGCTCTTAATTATGCCTACATTGATCTCTCACCATCTTTGAACCTCTTCCCCTCTTTCTTGCCTCCTTATTCCTCAAAAAAAAAAAAAAAGAAAAGAAGCTTTTACTGCAAAATAAATTCTGTTGTTTGGTTCTGTATTAAATATGGAAGTGTTTTGCCATTGATGGCATTCTGCTGCAGTCCAAATTAAATACTTAGATTGCTCCTGGTGAAAACAATAGGTGAGGATGGCAGAAAAAAACTTCACGTGTTTTAATTCATGGCAATCCTTGTATGCTTTAAATGCATGACAGGGGCACTTTTAACTTTTTGCTGGCCCTTTATGTGTTGTAAACAGCATATTGCATTTAGTTGATTTATTGCTGATTTCTAATGAAAACACTTCAGAGAATTATGCTGTTGTGCTCCCCACACTGGTACCAAGACCAACTGCAAAAAGATGACTGCTGATGCAGTCTTTAAAACCAGAAAAAAACAGATGATAAATGTTGTGAACAAAGGTGTTCTAGATTGTGATAAACCCCATGCTTTTGCAGAAGGAATGACATATCCTTCTCTTACCTTAGTTGACTCTAAGGGGCATAGGAAAGACTTGTTTGTCTATCCAAAAAAAAAAATATATAGCTATGGTATTTTTATTATAGGACAATTCGTCTGGCAATGTATCTGAAGGTGATTGCGCCACAGACAACCAGGAGGATTCTTTTCAGGGAAGACAAAAAACAAGAGACAAAAGTGCTACTCCAAGAAAAGATGGTTCCAAACGTTCTGTATTACCCAAATCAGTTCCTGGGTACAAGGTCGAAGAAAAAAGCCCCTGACTGAATTTTACTCACCAGCTTCTTCTTGAAGTATTTGGTTTTTTTAATAATGTGGAACTTCTGCTTGCTGTACTTCACTAGCTGTTCTCCTGTTGTGTGCTCCATCTGTTTGCTTCCTTATTTCCTTTTTGCTTATATTTCGTGTGGGGCTTTTCTTTACCCTAGCTGTACAGTGGCCTCCTATTGGGGTAACTTCTTAGATTCATAGCAATAACGCTAGAAAAATACATTGTGGATTTATCATTGGAACTCAACATTTTTCTGTCTGCTTTAACATAGCAGTCAGAAGTGTGTGCCAGTTTGAAGCTAGCACTCACTATCCATTACTTTTTTTCCTGTTTTGTACGGCAGCATACCAAGAGATCAGTTCTATAAAGTGCAGCGGTATGGCTGAGCATATTGTTACAACATTAATTTTAAATACAGCCTTTTATCCTGCAATATTATGATGTATAGGATGGAAGGCAAAAAGCTTATTACAGCTGTATAGGCCACACTATGTAACCCCTGTAATAGTACTTGGAAAATAGCTTTTTATGTAGTCCATACTATGTAGTAACATTTGTGGGCAATATGCTTTTATCTAAACTAGAAACTTGGTGAGGATGTTAAGACATTTTAGCTATCACACAGTGATTGCTGAACCTAAGACTCCAGTCTTCAGTGTTTCTATATAATAATTTCAAGAATTATGATAAAATACTTTTCAGAAGAAGTGGGAATTGACATGCATTGTTTATATGTTACTGTTCTGCATACTGAGAGAGGATCTGAATAAACTGTAACACATTTAAAGCAGGTAATTGTCTAGTCCTGTTCCGCTGAGAGGAATGAGAATTTTCCATTGACTTAAGTGGGAGCAGGAATAGATCCATAAGGAGGGAAAACACTGAGTTAAGATAGGGTTGAGTGTTTACCAGTGAGGATTACTTATTGATAGTTAAGGAACAGGGAACATTTTTGTCAGTGACAAGTTTGTACATACTGAGAATCTGTCTCAGCAAAAGTGAGCTGTTGATGGCTTGCATTTTATGTTTATAAATATTTACTATCTGTGTTTACCAAGTTAATAGTAAATAAACTATAACTTACAATAAGAAGCTAATTTCCAGCAACAATTGGACAGCTTTGATAAATTTCCTCTACATACAGTATCTGTACAGGTTCATTACAGACAGCAAGCTCCAGTTGCTTTTTCTGTTTTCAGGAACTTATTAAGAAATGCGTGAACTGTGTAGATTTAGAATGTGGTTACCACATATATATATTTTTTTATATGTAACTTTGCAAGAAGTTGTAGACATAGAATGCATTTCAGTATTCCCATGAAATCCAAAGATGAAGGCTGAAATTTTTCTTTAGCTTTGTTTAACTTGACATTAGAAATTGTGTGCCACTAGTTTACAGAAGCTTCACTTAGCTGCGAGATGCCCAAGTGTTTGATTAGTTGAATCTATTTAATGGCCTTATGAGTGCATAGAGAGAGGACTGGTGGAGCAGAGATTTGATTTGAACTTAAAATTGTACAAGAGTGGTAGTAGTATAGAGCAGTGCATTTTGAGAATGGATTCCCACAGCACTTACTTACTGTGATTCTGTCAGTATCACAGTAACAAGGTCTAGTTACAGTGCCTCATCTTTACTATGTCAGCATACATTGCCTGCATCAACCGTCCGGCTGTGGTTAAGTCAGGGGTGGTGATGATGTGTTAAGAGGGTGAGAGGATTGGCTTTCTTGTTTGTGGGAACGTTTGAAATACTGCAATAAGACAGATTACATGAGCTGTTTTAACGGGCAAGACAGAATGATTCTTGTTTGTGAGTCTATGAAAACATCAGATAACAATATACCTACCATATGTGCCTGCATGTTAAGGCACTTTGAGCCGAAGGCTTAACTGACTCAAAATGTTTTTCCTGTGAAATCTTTATAATACTTTTGTTCTGTATTGTTCTCTAATATTGGACTATTTTTGTAGGACACTAATCTTTTGGTTACATGTAGTTAAAATTGAGGGATAATTGCTATGGCATCAGCGTATATATGTATAGCCACGTTATGAGTATTACAGGATTCCATACATTTCCACTGAGTTATTTTCAAGTAAAAGAAATACTGTATTTTATATGGAGTCTTTTTTATTGTCAGTTCTTTAACAAAGAACGATTAGCATGTGTTTTACATTTTGTCATGTTCCAAGTAGTGAGTCTATTGCTGCAGGACTGACTGCTACAGTTGCACACGCAGGGTACTGTTAAAAGTACAAAAGATTTTTTTGCACATAAAACTGAAATGTATTGAGTATCTTTATTTTGCAACACTTCTGTTTTGGGTCACTGTATATGAAAATGTAATGCTTTGCATTCAGAATAGGATGTAAAATAAAAATGGTGTAGTTGGAAAGCTACTTTGAGAGCTGCAGCACAGCAGCATGGAAGTGAAAACTTACACATCACAGTTGTCATTTTGACCCTGCATTCATTTTCTCTCATATCTTATCCCAGTAAGATGGGGATATCGATATTTACTCCTAATGAGATGGGATATTGTGACTTCGCCTTTGGAATTGACACATTTTTTAATAGCATTTCTAAAAGCCATTTGTGGTGATAGAATGGAACTGGATTAAAATGTGAATAGTCTTGAGTTTTTAAAATTTTTGTTGTTGTTGTTTTTGTAAAAATACTTCCATACTGTTGGAATTTCATTCTTAAAAGGCTGTGATTCTCACCCCCCCTTAATATGCACAGTTTCTAATGAATACAGGTTAGTGAACTAAGTCTAGATGGAAGCATTGTTAATAAATGCATCTGTAGCAGTGTCTACCTAGAGAGTTATGTGTATCAGAATGTGAACTGCACACACCTGTAAGACTTGGATGTGTCCAAAAAGCAGCTCGCTTTGGCTGGAGTGTTGGGAAGTGTGCTGATGTATATTAAAGGCAGTAAAATACAAATCTGTAACAAGCCAGAAGTCTGATTAGAAAAGTTTCCTTGCTGTTCCGGAAAGGCTTGGTTTCTTATATTACAATATAATTTTAAAATAGCCTAAACAATGGAAGGGTAGATGCTGCCACGCTGACAAGGTTTAAGCATTTGCCACTTTTGTTGGGAGGAGCAGGGTATAAAGGTATACATGTAGGACACTTAGTATAGTTAATAGTAAAAGAGTTTATGCGTGGTTTTCCTTCCATTATATTTATTATTTTGTAGAGATGTTTGTGTGTTAGACTTCTTTTACTGTTTATTATTATATTTATGTATAAAACAGGTTGACTTTGCTTTTTTAAAATAAATAAGCAAAAAAAAGTCTATGAATGCCTCTGTCATCTTTTGAAGGAAGATACCTATAAACATTTGGTGGGGTATTTTGCTTTCTTGAGTAAAACTCCTTAGACTGAACAATTTGATGCAGGCTGTAGCCATGTTTTGACATGAAAAGCACATTGAAAACTTCAGAAAACTTAAAGCAATGCATCCTGATTTTAGAAATGAGTCAAGATACTAATTACCTTGCTAGGTGCTGTCAAAAACTGGCTGGGGAAATAAACACACTTAAAGATAAGTTGTATTGCAAAAGATCTTTGTAATTTTATTTATTTATTTATTTTGTGTTTTCACTTTTAAAATTTGTTTTAAAATTAAACCTCATTCTTCTCCCCACGAGTGGTTGGTAGTTGACTGGGATTCTTCTTATTGACAGCTGTTTAGAGCCTTTAGCTCCCTCTGCTAGTTGGGTCTTTGCAGCAACATTGTTTTTAAAAACTGGTGCTAGTCAGTTTAACATCAGTGAGTCTACATTAATTGTAGACTACATTTCTCACTGAGTTCAGTGTGCAGCAGTCAAAGCCCAACACTGTAACTACTGCCGTGTTTCTGAAATTCAGAATGCTTTAATTCTTCCCAAGGCCTCATCAGGATGACTCTCTTGTTGTATCTATGGAGTTGATGTACAGAATACCTAGGCAGATGTGTATTTCACATGTTAACAGCCTACTATTTCTCTTGCCCTTTAAATGGATCTCATGGACCCAGACACTTTAGATGATAACTTAGAAAAATTATAAATGTAAAAATCTCTAGTCAAATGCAAGGCTTTTGTTTCTTAAATTATTATGACTGGATACAAGAAGGAATGATAAAAGGAATACAGCCCTGTGCAGCATAGCTAACCATATAATTTGAAACTGAACATAGGAAAAAAATCAAGTTTATTATTTTTATAATTAATTTTCTATCTGTAGGGACAAATGTAATGCAGAAAAACCCCTATATATTTCCTTCATATACAGAAAATCAACACAGAAGTTCATAAAGAGTATTCTATATTGGAAGAAACTTCCTGAAATTTTTCACGCTATGTCACATTTAGTTTAACATAAGGAGAATGTTAGCTGATGAATTAATAGGAAGAGCCAAGTACTTGCTTTTGATCCAATTGGATTGACATAAAACTCACTATATATAACAAATGGAAAATTGTATGTAGTTTAATCTATGATTTTTTTCAGTGCTGCTGCTTGTCAGTGATTGTCACGTGTTTCAGGGTTCACACATCCTGACGGATAGTTTATAGATTTTAATAGTTAAGGAGATGACATTTCCTGTTGAATCTGTAAATTCTTCCGGAATGAATTTATAGCCCTCTTCTACCCTTCCAGCCAAAGGTCATTCCAAATGCTATATGTGGAATTTGTCTGAAGGGTAAGGAGTCCAACAAGAAAGGAAAACCTGAAGCTCTTATACATTGCTCCCAGTGTGACAACAGTGGTGAGTATCTACATCCACTAAGTCAATTCCTAAGGATCCAGATCTGTTTGTGGACATATTTAGTGTACTCCATATGTAGCAGGAGTTCAGTTGCCTTTTCTGTCCTTTGTTACGACCCCATCTCTCTTTCATGTTCTCTGTGCTCACACTGTGGGATCTCACCAGGAGCTGACCTAAGCTTCATGTTTGGTAAAAGCAAACAGTCTAACTAATTTTAAATTTCATTTCAGGCATAAAAATAATAATGCTGGTTTTAATCTAGGCCACCCTTCTTGCCTTGATATGACCCCGGAGCTTGTTGCTATGATTAAGACTTACCCTTGGCAATGTATGGAGTGTAAAACCTGCATTATATGTGGGCAGCCTCACCATGAAGAAGAAATGATGTTCTGTGATGTATGTGACCGTGGTTATCACACTTTTTGTGTGGGGCTTGATGCTATCCCTTCAGGTAATAAAGTTCCCTTCCCTCTTCCTCTTAAGTCCTGGGCTCATTCTCAGAATTAATACTTGAACTAATGAATTAATACATATTCTTTTGAAAGAATAGTTTAAAACAAGTCTGAAGAGTAAGAGGAAGAAACAGTATAGGAAAACATTCACACTATAGGACCCAATTTTTTTACTAAACTTTATTTCTGTATATTTGGTTGCGCACAGTTAAACGTCACATTTCCTGTGTAGGAAATATAATTGGCTTTTACAGCATAACCCAAACAGGCTCACTCAGAACTATGTTTTTTCCATTTCCATAGAATACTGACAATAATTACCTCTTTTCACTGAAGAAACCTGTAAAAGAAACTGTATTGCTGCATATTGCTAGAGTACAGCTTTCACATTAAGTGTGCTGTTTTAGCTTCTAAATGAAATAGTTGTCTCAATTTAATATTTGTAAATATCTCTTTAAACCCTTTCATTTCGTTTTTTATTCTTAAACATCAAAACTGCAACAGAAGTACCTCCATAGGTAGGCAGGCAAGCCAGCAGCTTTAAATTGCCAAGTCACTCATACCATGTGGCCAACTCAGGGCAGTAGAAAGAAAATAACAGGTGGTACTGTTGCTTTACACGTAGTTCCACATCCATAGTAAGTTCATGAATACGTATTCAGTGGCAGTGACAGTATTCCCTGGACAGTACTTAAAACACACTGTACTGCCCCATTTTGGGAAGCACTGAGCTAGCTGTCACAATTGTACAGGTTCTGTGGCTGATTTCACTTTGAGGCTGACCTAAGAATATAATCAAAATAGATTATATGTCTACAAAACTACAAAATTACCAAAGCAGCCATTGATTCCAGCTGTTGTAATAAAAAGTTAAATGCTTCCCCAGCTGCCATTGATTTCTGCTCTTGGTAACTTCACAACCTTGAACTGTAGTCATTCACCTGAAAATATGACAGGCAAACTCAAGCACTGTTTGTAAAACTCTTACCTAATAACCACCTCCTTGGAGTGCTGGCACTTCTTGAGGTCCATGAAGATTGGTGTAGCCAGTGGTTACACAATGAGTGTGAATTGTGTATGCTGCTTTATAGAAAGGATGCTTAATTTTAAAAGCATTTGTTGTTTGCATTAAAGGAAATACTGCAAATAGACAGGCACCTAACAGAATGGTGAAGGGCTGCCTAAATAGGTAAGAGAGTAACAAACTTAGTTTCCCAATAATTGATAACTTTCTTTTCTTAGGTCGCTGGATTTGTGATTGTTGTCAGAAAGACCCTCCTGTACCCAGAAGAGGAGGAAGAAGGGGGAAAAACAGCAAGGAGGGCTAAGAAAGCCCTAAATACTTGCTGTCCAAAACTTAACTGCACAAATTAAAGTGATACTCTGGTGCTATTTAATCAACCACTCTATAAGAGGAGCAATACCACTTTTTTTTTTTTTTCTTTTTACTAAATAAACTTTGTCTATATAGTGATTTTTGTGATACAAGTCACTACTGTCCTGTCAGGTGTTGAGAGAGGCAAGCCAAATTACCACTCAAAAAAGAGAATATTTTCAGTAATGAAATTTAAATTATACATGCATTTGTATAAAATTATAGCAACATACTTATTTATTTCAGTGCACTTATCAGTAAGCCCTGTGAAAAGAAAATTACAGAGCAATGTAATGTACTTTATTTGCATAGCAACTGGTTATTCTGAAATACTCAACCAAAGCAAAAAGTATTCCTGGTAAAAGTAACTTCTAAGGAAGAGTAGGCATGAGATGACCTTCTTAAAATATACTGCAAATCCCTTTCAGCAGAAATTTTCTGTGCAAGCTAATGACTTATTCATAAATATGTGCTTGGAAAAAAAATCAATCACAAAAAGCTATCAAGGGAAGTGTAAGAAAGCACCTCTCAAGTTTGAGATACCTGTATGCTGTGTTGTTTTTAATGAGATGAAAATGACATACTGACAAGTAACAACAGCTGAAGGCTCCCTCTCCCTGCAGTAACAGCAAAGAAGCAACATGCACTTGATTCAGGTCATGGATTTGTAGTGGTGATGAGTGACTGGACCGACCTCTGTTTGACAGATGGCTGATGTGATGTAGAGCACACGCAGTCAGAATACAGATATCTATTCCCTTAGGTGATTGATTGTTTTCTCCTTCCTTCACCCTAAGCTCCTCAACTTCACGGATACACTCAAACACATTGCTGATCAGTTTTACTGGAGATGCTTGCTCAGAAAAGAAGCAGGTTTTATTTTTAAATATGCTCTAAATTGAGAGGGGGACTGAAGCACAGTAGTTTATTTATTTTTCTTTATAAAAAACAATAGAAAATACTGAATTGGAATTGATTTTCCTAAGCACCTATTTTAAGTGAATTTAACAAGATCCCAACTATACATTCATTTCTAAGCCCTGGTCTCCGAAGAGCACTGCAAATACTGTCCTGGCTGCTCATTTTACATACTGGGGAGGATTTACAATATAAAATTAAATATGGCTTTTTCTCCCCACTTCCTTTCTGGTTTTGGAAATGTAACCTAAATATCTCTTCAGGAAACATAGCGAGTATTAAGTATAATAGCAAGTCATTCATACCAATTTCACAGGATGAAGTGTGACTTAAGTCCAGTGTGTATCAATTTAAAAAAGGATTTCAAGTATTAATTTCAAGATTCCAATAAGTATAGTCCAGAAAACAGACTCCTCATCCTGAGATTCATCTTCTGTAGACTGTGAGTATTTCTGGTTTGCCTCCATCTCCTCAGGGTTGTAAGAAGCCTCACCAAACGGGTACTGTACCACTGTTCGATCGTAGTACACCTTCATTTCAAACTCGCTCTCCAGGTGAGAGGGGTGCCCGTAAATCCCTATTCCCACAGGGCGGCGGAAGTGTGCGGGCACGTGCACGATGTCCTGGCCACAAGTCACAGACTGTAACTCGTACTCATCAAAGCTGGGGTGCAGTGTCACGTCAGACACGTACAAGTCTGCGTCACCTTTTAAACTCCGCATCTGAAGAACGATCTTTCCCTCGTGATTTAGTCTCAAATAGCTGTAGTTTCCTGCTCCAATCTGACCTTGGACAACATGAAGAAGAATCCATTCCTCTGGTACGTCCTCTTCTTCAAAGGCATTTACCACTAATAGTACTTGAGCTGTCACAAATACTGTCAGGATTCTTCTCCAGTGTGTTGCCATGGTCTTCAGTTGTTTTTGGATTCTTCCTGTGTCCGTGTCCTACCCTATGAATACAAAGCAAAATTCAAGTTTTAGTATATTCCCTTGTGGGAACTAATCTACTTTTTAAAATTTGGTCATTCTTATAAATCTTCCCTAGTCCATACAAATTTAACTTCAGTTGTGTTCATGTATTTTTTAATAGTCACAGAAACCAGTGCTAAGATTCAGAATTTTGTCAGAATAAAATGGCTTACATTTTCAAAAATTAAACAGAAATTAATCAAGCCAGTGTTCTTTCAACAGAACTGACATAAAGAGTTTAGTTTCATTCTACCTTTAGTATCATGCCAAACTTGACAGATACCCAGGAGGGATGAAACCCAATAATGATTTTAGCTTCACTTTAAAAAACCAAAAAAACAATTAAGGAGAGGAAGGCTTTTGCATGCTTGAAGATGATTAACTTTATAAGAGGTGCTTAAGGCATCCTATTTGTTCTCCCATCCTCATCCTCTCAACTTCAAAAGACAGTAAAGGTGCAAATCTGGGTGTGGACTTGAAGCAGTAGGCATTCCAGCTTTCATTGGGATGGAGTTAGAAATAAAAACAAATTATCTAATGAGGTAATACATTAATTCATGATCTTGATGTATGGCTTGTTTCTAGAAACAAATTTGGCACACTTTCCCTGAAAAAAAATGCGTTTACTTTCAGGAAGGTTTTGTTAGAGTATAGATGCTCAGCTCTTTACAGCACTTGGGTAGAAAAGATAAAGCTGAAGGTACCAGGACAAGGGGAAAATGGAAAGGACTACTGCAAGATCAAGGCTCTTTATTCCCTCCTTGCTGCACACTCCCAGTCGAGCAGCTTGAGTATGCCTGCCACACTCCAGCCCTCTGAACAGCTGCACTAAGTCACCGTGTGCAAAGCAGCAATTTCCAAACCTTGCTGAAGGCTTCCGAAGTGTACAGCTGACTGAATTTGACATGCAAATCACAGGAGCCACAAGCCTGAACAACTTTGTGTTTAAGAGGAAGGTTCTCACCCCCTAATTCCTTCCATAAGGACTACAATTATCTGAAACCAGAAAGTTGCCTGCAACTCGTTTTGTACCCTGCCAGCACCAAAACAAACTGCATTACCTCCACTGAGATGTCACTTAAATGTTAAAAGTTCTACAACTGAACGGATCCAGGGCAGAAAAACATCAGAAAAATTTTATTTTCTGTCCCAGAGGCCTCTCTACTGCAAGGTCACAATTCTGCACAGAAAGCATAAAAGAACGAGGTGCAGCATGTGCCGAACCTGCCTGACTGACAGAACTGCCTCAACAACCACAGGAAAACAAACAGTCTCTTGTCTCGACCGTAGGAGGGAGCTGTCTCTGTCATTTGTCCATCGAAGTAGCGATGAAAAAGCCGAGCGGAGCCAGGAGGAGCTCCACATCTGACCAGAAAATAATTAAAGTTATCTAGGAAAGAACGAAAGCGTCGTGACGCCGGCACAGCGCTCGGGAGGAGAAGCGATTCCAAGAGACCTTGGACAGAGCCACGAACGAGGAGTTCCGCCCG